TTGTCCACGTCCTGCCCCCATGATTCATATTTTTTATTGTAAGATCATAAGATGTAGATTATCTATAAAATGCTGTTTATATAGAGAAATAAATTGTTTAGTTCGTAAGATTTTAAGATTTGCGAGTCAGAGAAGGAGAAAGTGAGAGAGAGAGAGAGAGAGAGAGAGAGAGAGAGAGAGAGAGAGAGAGAGAGAGAGCAAAAGAGAGAGGGAGAGAGTGAGAATGTGAGAGAGAAAGCAACACATCACCCGGTATGTTATAGGTTTACGGAAGGGATGCGTGAAGAATGAAGAAGACTCTATTAGTCCTATTGTGAATGTACTATTAAAAAAAGATGTAATGAAAAGTTAAAAAGTATTCTTAAAGATCAATTGCATTGTATTCATTTCATTATGCAATTAAGCTGCGTCGGAGATTATGAATAGGCTATCATTTATGTCGAATTCATATGCGAACTGTAAAAGAAAGAGAGAAAAAGAAGCGGGAGATCATCCTCTCGCATTTTGCCATTTTACGGTGGAATTAATTTCGATTTATTGTTACAAACGTAAAAGCTTCTATAATAAATTTACCTTGTAACTCTTCTCAATGTGCGATGTCACTTGCAAGCGTTGATTAAGGAAAAGAAGATCTCGAGAACCGTAATGTTTCGAAAAAGGTTTGATATTGAAGGTAGGACTTTTCTTTTAATACTCGAAATCAAGACTATTTCTATCTAAAGTCTTGAGGAAATGTGAAACGCGCGCACGTAACAATAAAAAGATTTACAATATATGTATATATACATGCAGAGTGTTCAGCGTAACGATCCGAACGATTTTTCAGACACTTACGAGAGATAAAAAAAAAAGTTGAAAGATGAATATTCATCGGTTTTATTGCAGGTTGCATGTGATAAAAAAATTTAAAAAAAAATTGTTTTCGTTAAAAAAGCGACATTTCAATAGTGATTTGAATTCGTCTTAAAGACTCTTACAATATAAAAAAAATTGTATGGTGCTATTAAAAAATTCAAGATGACTTTTATTTCTTTATAAAAAAAAATTTTTTTAATTTTTTTATTGCATGTTGTAGCCTACATAAACTAAATGAATATTCATCTTTTACCTTTTTTTCTTAACTGTCGGCAGTGTCTGAAAAATCGTGTGGACCATTACGCTGAACACCTGTGTATATATACATATGTATATCACATACACACACATATATATAAAATATATATCGTGTAAAGACAAATAAATTTAGAAACAAATTAAACAATACATTCATGATAAATGTTTAAAAATGATTTAAAAAATACACACGTATACACACACGTGTATGTATTGGTAGCCTCGTATTGATTTCTAATACATTTCATAGCAAGTTTACCTCATAAATAATCTCAATTAATCGAAACATAAACTTTTGAAGTTAACGAACGATTAACAAAGTCGTAATAAATAAAGAATTCATTTTAGTATATTAGAAGCATGGACGAGTTCTTTTGTTAAGCATGGGATCGTAAAGAATAAATAATGGTATTCGTAAAATATGCATGCATATAGTCTACAAAAAGTATATACATTTCTTTGTACAACATATCAAAATTTTAATCTATAAAAATCCATTCAGGACGATTTTCAGCAGATATCTTCTAATTCCATTTTTTTTCTCAAGAGAGAAATTAGCAATTTTCTCCTTATAAAAATGAGGGAGTATTAGTATTGTCAATGGTATAATAGAGATCAAATATTTTATTTTTTTATGAGATTTCTATATTGTTCACTCTTTAAATTAGCAAAGTCTTACAATCAATAAAATAGGAAATTAAATAGCATAACACAGTAATATTAAATGGAAAGATGTATCTTAAAAATGAGAAATTACAAATTAACAAAAAACTAATAAGTTTTTGTACACTCCTTAAATTAAAACAATTTAGAAAAAACATATAACATACACAGTACAGGCAATAGCAGTCAACGCTGGTTATCAATTAGCGCAATTCTTCTTAATATTATATACATGTATCTTGAATATTTGTTATTTTCATTTTATTTGCTGACAAAACTTACACCTAAAAAATACAAAATTTTATCGACTTAATTTCACGAATGTGAAAATACCGTGAATTTCTTATTAACAGTTACATTGTCACGTTAAGAAAGAAATAAGAATTGATATTCATGATTCATTTATTACTTATGATATTATTTTCTATTATGTCTCGCAGATTTATTTGATTTGTCAAATTGTCACTTTTCATAAAATTGTCAAGTGACTTTAACTACGAAGAGAAAAGATAAATTTGAAATATTTGGGAAAGATCAAACTTTGCCTACAAACAGAAGTAACTTATATTGAAAATGAAACAAAATGTTGCATAATATTATATTACAATTATATACAGAATGTTTAGAAATAGATATAATTGATACACAGTAATATTCCACGTGATTTCTAGTAGATAACTCAAATAACATGGTTTAATAAAAAAAAAAAGAAAAGATTTTCTGTATATAAAAGAGTAATTATTTCCTATTTTTCTGATGTAGCTGAATACAATTCCATTTATCAAATTGCTGTATTACGTCGAAAATTGCGATAAAAGCGCAAAAAGATCTGTTTTAGCATACTTTGGACATAACTACGGTCTGTAACATGTCGAAGATTTGTTACAATCAAAATAAAATATATTGTTAGAACTTTCAGTTCTTAAGAAATCCTAAAATGAAACAAATTACCGTCACTTTGTAATTCTAAAATATCTTTGAATTGGCTTTATAGGATTGCGAAATTCTTCTACACAATTAAAACCACAAAAATAGTTATTGCAAATATAGGTTTTGTACCGAAAACAAAGAAAAATTAAAAACTTATTTTTGCGCTTGTTTTTTCACTTATTTTTTTGCACGTACAACTGTCATCTGATGGCAGTATTTGCTTAATACAAAAATTTTAGTTTACATGTGTAAAATGATTTCGCCATAGAGACAATATGCATGGACAATATCTTGAAATAAAAACCAAGATTAAAAGTCTAGAATAAAAAATTATTTAGAATTACGTTTTATAAATTTAAATAAAGATGAAGATGAGCAATAATGCGTGTAAAATAATGACAGGGTCAGGTAAGTTAATATATTTTTTAAATTAAGTTAAAATTAATAATTCATAAAATTGATTAACTGAATCATTTCAGTTCATTTCGATCATTTCGATAATCGACTGATGATCAAATAACTAAAAGTAGAAAAAAAAAATAAGAATAATTTCATTCCCATTATTTTTCATTGCGACGAGGGGATATGCAAATTATTGATTCCAGCAACGTTCTTTTGTGATTGAATAAATCGCGTTTCAGCAACGTGAATTAGGGAAATACGTTACGTATATTACAGTATTTCCCTAGTTTTTCATGTTTCTTTTCAAAAATAGGGGCCTTGATTGATTTTCTTATGCTTTATGCATTATGCAAAAGTCTGTGCTTCGACCATAAACTTACTTATAAACCATAAAATTACTTTTGTAAAATTTTTGAATCGATATTTGAGTAAGAAAATTTATTATTTTAGACAAGTTACACAAATAATAAAATCTACCTTGGAATAATAATACAAAGTGTCATTTTTTTAAATATTTATTAATAATTCAGACATACTTCCTATAAATTTATCAATATATGTATGCCACTGGATACATACCATAAATAACATCTTTAATACATCTAATTTCAGAGCTAATTTTCAAGATGTTTTTGCTGATTTGTCTTCCTCATTCTGATTTTGAACCATAGTTCTTGAAATTAGGAACCATGTACATGGGTGAGATCAATAATGACCCAGTAATGCAGAGCATTGCAAATATTTCTTCCTGTAACATAACATCTTCATTAACACAAGATAAAATTAATTAGGTAAATATTCAGTAATAATATTCACGATGCCTCTCCCTCTAATTTTCCTACAATTTTATAAATTTGTATATTTTCATGGATGGAATATACTTTGAAAAGAAAAATCGCTCTAGTCCTATTCTTTTTTCTTTTTAATTTCAAAATCTTTTGATATCAGTAAGTTAAAAAATGATAATTTAATGAAAATTTATGACTGCACATGTTCATTAATGCTCTTAATTATAATTAAATGACATACATAATCTGTGTAACTTTATATTTAGATAAAAAAATACTCTAACCATATTTAATTCATAAATATGATGACAGAATGAGCATACAGTCAAAAGTTACTACTAAATTATTATTATCTAACTTATCGATATAAAAAATCTTTGAAAATAAAAAGAAAAAATTAGAAATAACCTTAGGCTAATAAAAACGTATTGAAATAAAAAGTTGCAGAATGGAAAATTTCCAAAGTTTTAATAGGAATGTTTCTTGAAATATTGGTACAGAAGATTTATAATCTGTATAAAGGCAACATTACATATTTATGTCCGAGATTACGTTACAAGAAATATTAAATTTTCTATTAATTAAACGTCACAGTAAATACCTATCCATTTTATTTTTAAATCAAATACTCGTAGGAAAAACATGGAAAAATTATCCTTCACAATACTATCAAAGGTTTTTTAAACCGTCGGTATAATTGAATCGGAAAGCCGATGATTATGCAGCGTAAGAAAATTAATTACGCGTTGCATATTTCTTACGTAATTAAACATAGATTTGACAAGGAAAACCTCTACTCACAGCAGTGGATATTTTTACTCGGGGTGGTGTGCTAACGATTGAATTACTGTACGTCCTGGCAATAACGCCTGACAAACGGGACGTATTTCTCAGTCCGTTGTTAAACGCGAACATTTTTTGTTTTCGTTTGTAAACTTTTCGAATGAACGAAACCGTGAAAATTAATATCCTAGGCACTTAAGTCCTTGACGAGTAACCAGGAATATAATTCATTAGATACGCAATCCTATGGTATAAAAATATAAGGAGAAACGTTCCCGCGAATGTGTAGTAGAAGAGTGAATATGGACTCAAATTCTATTGGCTGTTCCAGTTTCCTAGTGATATTGGCTGCATTCGCCATTCAGCAGAGAAAGCAGCTTTGGAACTGTTGTAAAATTCTTCAATATGATTGGTCTTGCTCTTAGTTCCTTATTGGATCTAAATGTATACTATCTAACGGACCAAAATTCGTGGATATAGTAAAAAATACAACCAAAAAATCATGGATATTACCGACCGGATCATGAACATTGGCTATGTAGTTCAATGTCCACATTTTGTGGACGTGGACGCGCTTCAAAATAAATTAACGGCTAAATCTCGGGCATGGCCGTTTTAGGTTTTAGGTTTCTCTCTGGGATGCAGGATAGTACAGTATTTCGTGTCTTCGTAACAAATTTTTTAATCTGAATTGTTTTGACGTTTCGCGGGACAAAGTTTCGAATTAAAATGTGTGAAATGAGTATATTTCCATCAAGATTCGCAGAGAAGCCTGTACTCTAAACAATTATCGAGAATAGACTACATACAATATTAACGCATTTCGTGAAGCACGTAGATATTTCTTTCTTTAAAGAAAAAAATGGATATTGCCAATCCTACTCCTCAAGATCTACAAGCAAAATTATACTTCCTGATGGAACAGTTGCAACACATGGCTGGAGAATTACCGCCAAAATATCAGATGCGATTGCCCTACGAATTATTGTCCGGTTTAGCAAACTCACTGTTAAACGATACTATTTTTGAGATAGTGAAAGGTTTGATGGAGATACAGCATGTCACCGAGAAACATCTCTTCCAACAGCGACTCCAGCTTTTGAATCAACAGAAAATTGAATGTCAAGAAGCATTATCAGCAACAGTAGTAGATGACAAATTAAACTCAATAAAAGCCACACTGTTCAAGAAACACAAGGAGGAGTTAAAGGAAATGGATATGAAATTGGTATTGCAATTAGATCAAAAAGTAGCTGATCAGCAAAGTATATTGGAAAAGGCTGGAGTACCAGGATTCTATGTGACGAACAATCCAGTGGAGATTCAAGTGCAAATGAGGCTGTGCGACTTTATAATCAGACTCAGCAAGATGGACATACCAGCTTAACATGAACATGAAATTCTATCATATATTTCTGTTTATATCTAATCATACTTATCACTTATGTATAATAATTACATCATTTTATTATAATTTCTATTTATCGGTTAATATTCATCATTAAAATTCTAAAGGTTAATTTTTGAAGATTGCAAAAGTTTATATTATTTTAACATTTTATTGTAATCAAGATTTTTGTTTGTACAATGCAATTTCATACACATCATATCAAAAAGTATTATCACAAATTTACATCTGTTAATTGAAGTGTAATGGATTTCAATATATATATATCTTTTCAAAATAGAAAAATATTTTATACATTTTGTACATGTTACAATTATCAGAGAGAAAAATTAAACTTCTAACAAGAGATACCAGTGCCAAAAAAATAAATGGTAGATATTTATATATATATGCAATTACATATTGCATAATAATGTTAAAAATATGATTATTCTTACAAAATAATGTAATACAATTTCTTAACAAGTAAATAATTTTTTTAAGTATAATTTTTTTTCTTTTTCTCTTATATAATTATATCACACTGTTCATAAAGTAACTGCTCCGAAATAATTATTTTATCAATCACTCAATTACATTTGTGTCACAAATAGAAAGTTTCCAGAACGTACTAAATATGAATCGAATAATTAGAAATAAAATTATTTTAGATATTTATACGAGACATATAATTAAAAGAATCTTTTGAATAAAAAGGTAAATTATTTTTATTTAGATTATCTTTGTTATGTAATATATAAATTGTCTTTTTAATTTTAAAAAATATTATATACAAGAAAATGAGATGTTTTATCAACAATATAATAATTTAGTATATATGGTATATATATATATATACTAAATTTATATCAAATAAAAACTAAATATACTAAAATTTATGCTAAATTTAGTATATATTAAATATTTAGTATATACTGTTTAGTATATTAGCTATATACAAAATTATTCGGAAAATTATGTGGATACAGATTGAAATGATCCGTCCTGTATTACTATTTTATCCAAATGTTGGTTGTGCGGATGAAGCATGATCAGTGACTGGCTTGGCGGATCTAAGGGAATCAGTCTCATTCGTTTCTGAGAAACATATACTATAAACATCGTTGAACGTCGAGACAAAATGCACTTCCAGACCATCTGTGATGTATTTGGGTAGATCGTTGAAATCTTTCTTGTTCTCCTCGGGTAAAATTATGCATTTAACATCGACTCGCTTCGCCTAATAAAATATAGTTCATTAATTTTGTACCTTGACTATATATATATATATATATATATATATATATATATATATAAAACAAAGCAATTATATTTCATGAGTATATAGTATAAAAATAATTATTTCATAAAGCTATGATAAATAAATATTAATGTAAATGCATGGTTCGATGAAAAATAATTTAGTAAAACTAGTATATTAAGCTATATACATTATTTAATAAGAGATATTGAATTAATTTAAATTAGAGTAATTGAAATTAATAAAAACAAGATTATGCTTACTGCAATAACTTTCTCTTTGATACCGCCAACAGGAAGAACCTTGCCCATAAGACTCAATTCGCCTGTCATTGCTACATCTTGCCTGATAGCTTGGTTTTTAGCTAAGGATAACAATGCAGTACCAATTGTCATACCTGCACTAGGGCCGTCTTTTGGGGTTGCACCTTCAGGCACATGTATATGCAAATGAGAGTCATACAGAAATGTATTCGAAGGATCCTCCTGTTTCAAGTAATTTCTTGCTACAGTCATTGCGATATGTATAGACTCCTTCATTACATCACCCAGATGACCAGTGACTTCGAATGTACCCTCAGCCTTTTTACCACCCGTCGGTTTTCTGATGGTACTTTCGATGAATAACGTGGACCCGCCCATGGCGGTCCATGCCAATCCCATCACAACTCCGGGAGGCGTTGTTTCATACATCCTGTCGTGCGTGAACACAGGCTTGCCCACAAAGTCTTGCAAGTTGTCCATAGTGATATCGACTTTGTCGGCTTCCTTCTTGACAACTTTAAATGCTACTTTCCTATGCACCTTCTCTATATGTTTCTGTAGACTTCTCACTCCTGATTCTCGACAATAAGATTTAATTAACGCCGTGAGCGCATTGTCTTGTATGCTGATTTGTTCTTTGCTGAGACCAGATTCAGTTCTAGCTTGTGGAACTAAGTACTGTTTCGCGATAGCGAGCTTTTCTTCGGCAACGTAACCGGACATATCTATCATCTCCATACGATCTCTTAGGGGTTCCGGAATAGTGTCTATTACATTTGCCGTGCAAATGAATAGTACTTTCGATAAATCTACTGGAACATCTAAATAGTGATCCAGAAAATTCGCATTTTGTTCTGGATCGAGCATTTCGAGAAGAGCAGATGCCGGATCTCCTTGGTGTCCTCTGTAACATAATGTTATAAATGATGTAGAGAGAGAGAGAGAGAGGGGGGGGGGGGAGG